CCAAATTCTTAATGTTTCTATACTCTCTTTCACCTATTATTGCCAACAGTTTCCTGTCAATTCCGTCCAAATCCTACGTGCAACCATATACGCTGCCAGCGCCATTGCTCTCGCGGCTCCACTGTTGCACGCTTACACTAATATATATAGCAGGTAGGAAAGCGGGATCGCAAAATTTGCTCGGCGCTCGCTGGATTTCACACTTTCACAGCACGAATACACATCCAACAGCTGCCATCTTTGTTTCCATGTCAAGAACAGTGTTCACTTGTTATAAAAACATACTGTCTCTGTTTGTAACTGAGCTGTGTCACGCAAAATCACACAAAGACTGACGAAATTCTTGCGTTCGCGAACCTTGCACCGTAATGTAAATGGCTGTCAGAATCAGGGCTATATAGACTGGGACTCGCTCCCACCTCGATTACCCATCGAGTGACTAAGCTAAGCCAAGAGGTGGGAGCGAGTGCCAGTCTATGGACTATAGGAGGCGCGCAGGCGGCGCACGTACTGCTTCCCAACTCCCGTACGAGCCTCGGCATTGAAACGTTGCAAAAACGTTGCAGCGCAAGAATGAGGTCACGAAGAGCGCCGGTAGGTGTTTCCTGATTCTGACAGCCATTTACATTACGGGCAAGGTTCGCAAACACGAGAATTTCGTCAGTCTTTGTGTGATTTCGCGTGACACAGCTCGATTACGAACAGAGACAGTATGTTTTTATAACAAGTGAACACTGTTCTTGACATGGAAACAAAGATGGCAGCTGTTGGATGTGTATTCGTGCTGTGAAAGTGTGAAATCCAGCGAGCGTCGAGCGAATTTTGCGATCCCGCTTTCCTACCTGCTATATATATTAGTGTAAGCGTGCAACAGTGGAGCCGTGAGAGCAATGGCGCCGGCAGCGTATATGGTTGCACGTAGCACGTAGGATTTGACAGGAAACTGTCGGCAATAATAGGTGAAAGAGAGTATAGAAACATTAAGAATCTTTTTTTACAATCACATTTCCGTCGGCACTTTGATTCCTGCGTAACGAAACTGCTGAAATAATTGATGATTGTCATGTATACCATTATTATTGTAGTCATATGTTCTGTAAGCTCCATCAATTTAAATTATAACAAAAACAGTTACCTAAACTTTGTGTTTGGAGTTCCACTTCGATGTCATGTCGCGGAGTCGCCGGTTGCTGATGCGCCTCTATGTTGTGCTCAACTAAAGGTGACACATGTCGCAGAGTCACCTCTATGTCGTGCTCAACTACAGGTGACACATGTCGCAGAGTCGCCTCTATGTCGTGCTTCAACTACAGGTGACACATGTCGCGGAGTCGCCCGGTTGCTGATGCACCTCTATGTCGTGCTCAACTACATGTGACACATGTCGCGGAGTCGCCGGTTGCTGATGCACCTCTATGTCGTGCTCAGAACTACAGGTGACACATGTCGCAGAGTCGCCTCTATGTCGTGCTCAACTACAGGTGACACATGTCGCGGAGTCGCCGGTTGCTGATGCGCCTCTATGTGGTGCTCAACTACAGGTGACACATGTCGCGGAGTCGCCGCGTTGCTGATGCGCCTCTATGTGTGCTCAACTACAGGTGACACATGTCGCAGAGTCGCCGGTTGCTGATGGCGCTCTATGGGTGCGCTCACTACAGGTGACACATGTCTGCGGAGTCGCGCGTTTGCTGATGCCGCTCTTATGTGGTGCTCAACTACAGGTGACCAGTCGCGGAGTCGCTCTATTGGTCTTGCTCAACTGACAGGGACACTGTCGCAGAGTCGCCTCTATGTCCGTGCTCAACTACACGGTGACACAATGTCGCGAGTCGCCGGTTGCTGATCGCCTCTATGTGGGTGCTCACTACAGGTGACACATGTCGCGGAGTCCGCGGGTTGCTGATGCGCCTCTAATGTGGTGCTCAACTACAGGTGACAGCCATGTCGCGGAGTCGCCGTCTCATGTCGTGCTCAAAACTTACCAGGTGACACATGTCGCAGAGTCACCTCTATGTCGTGCTCAACTACAGGTGACACATGTCGCAGAGTCGCCTCTATGTCGTGCTCAACTACAGGTGACACAAATGGTCGCGGAGGACCCCGCCGCGTTGCTGAATCGCGCCTCTATGTGGTGCTCAACTACAGGTGACACATTCGCAGAGTCGCCTCTATGTCGTGCTCACTACAGGTGACACATGTCCGCGAGTCGCCTCTATGTCGTGCTCACTACAGGTGACACATGTCGCGGAGTCGCCGTGTTGCTGATGGCGCTTCTATGTGGTGCTCAACTACAGTGACACATGTGCAGAGGTCGCCTCTATGTCGTGCTCAACTACAGGTGACACATGTCGCGGAGTCGCCGGTTTTTGCTGAATGCGCCTCTATGTCGTGCTCAACTACAGGTGACACATGTCGCGGAGTCGCAGGTTCAGTCCATTCATGTGGCGTCGAAGTTATTTCCATCAAGCCCAACTTCTCTTCCTTCCTCCAGCATTTTTACTAAAATGTTCTAGCATTTTCCACCCTTCTTTCGAACTGTATTCTGCAACTTCTGATGTCAGAGTTGCAAGCTTTGTTGCAACTGACATTGCTTTTCTAAATTGTTGGTGCTGACTAAACGGCTTTCTGCGTGCTGTAGATTCCATTGCCACACATGTCACTGTTCTGTTTGGCCCTTGATTAGTCCGTGCTGAAAAGCCTGCTATTTGCTTTGTAATGCTGAACTGACCAAACGAGCATCACACAAGTTCTTGTCAAATAGAGGCATGTCAAGCATATTCTAAGAGAAAATATATGCTGCATGGTAGGCGCATCGATGAACGAAAACTGCAGCTGCAAGTATCAACTGCAACTACGATACTTCCTTCAGATGATTTTAATATGTAGTCGCCATTTTCGTTCGAAAATTCAACTGCTTTCCTGCTGGCTGTCAGCTGCTTGCACACATAGTCTGCCGCGTACGTAGTTAGAAAAGTGCAGAATTCTATCTCTGCAGATCCAGGTGGAAATAGAGCGGCTCGTCTTTTCTGTATAGCTACTGCAGCTGTGTGGTCTCTCTCTGTGCGCAGAGCAGTTAGGATGACATAGAACTTATCTAGGAATTCTTCTAAGCTGCTGTATCTACTGATGATCGACTTCAGCTTTGCGTTTAAACTTTCTAACCGGTTGTTTGTGGTATTAAGAAGTTCCCAGTCTGAAAGTTCATGCCATCACCCATTCATCTCGAATAGCATGCCAGTTTAGCGTGAAGTAGTCAACCACGGATAGAGGAGCATCAGCTTCTAGCTGAGCATGAAGAGCTGCATACTCATTCCGGTTTTTGGAATATGCAATTTTCTGCAGCAGTTCAAGACAAAAAAGCCTCTGTCCTGGAGATATGCCCATTTCTCACATGAAACTTCTCTTTAAAGCTTTCTCATAGTGTGGAACAGGCATATGAGAATATGAGCGCCACTAAATGACCTCTTCATAACATCCCTTTCTTGGATGTCTTTGTCAGCCATAACCACACGAACACGTCTCGATTCTGGGTTTCGCTTCTTAAAAGAATCAAAAAAGAACTTCAGACTTGGTGCATCCTCTTCAGCTAAGAAACAAACGGCAACAATTTCACTCTGTCCCATAGCATCTTCGTTTAGCACCAAATAAACAGGCATTCTAATTTCCAAAAGCTTATATGTCGCATCAACCGATATCATCTCTGGATAAGCTCTGTAAGCATCCATCATTTGTTTGGTCTTGGAAGAAGATACCTTTTCAGAACTTTTTGATCATCAGTGAAAAATGTCGACAGTAGCTCCTGTAAATATTAGTAACCAAATTGAAAACACTGCTTTTTTAAAGTAAATTTTTGAAGTGTATTTCTAATTTGGATCATGTTAACAATGGTAAATCAGTTCATATAATTTGGAAGTGTTCATACCGTATTTCTCTTGCAACTCTCGAACAAAGCTATCCAGGTCGTTTCTGGTTTCTCCTTTCTTCATCCTATCACGAATGTTAGAAAGGTCCTTAAAAAGGACAATTCGCCCACTCTGTCTAGAAAGCTGATTCTTAATCAGTTTCCTGTCAGCCTTCAATTTCAGCATATGTTCTGCTTCTTTTTGAGTCTCCTCTGGCAGTTTTCTCTGACTAGGTAGATGGTTGTACAGCTCCTGTAATAGAAAGACATATAGTAGTGATTTGCTGGAAAATGTACATGAACTACAGTCAAACTCGGATAAATTATATGCTACTGGCTGTCAATTTATTCTGCATTTATATACACGTATATATCTCAATGGGGTTAGCCGCTAGAAACGGTTGCGCGCTGGAGGGCAGCACATCTGCAGAGGTGAAGAATTATCCGCGTACCCATATGCACACACCGGGATAGAGTGGGGGAAGTGGGTGTTTTATTCTTTTGTGTGTGCTGAGGAGTTATGTAATATGTTTATTGAGATTCATGTATGTATGTAGGTACATGTATGACCTGCAGAAGAGCGCCCTACTGTCGTACACCACCTATATTCGCGCTGACAATAAATATGCGCGCTGGGTGTGCACGTCCCAGTGTGTGCGTGCGTGCGTGTGTACGTACAGAGTGCGTGTGTGCGTGCGTGCATGCGTGCGTATGTACGGTGCGTGTGAACGTACACATGGCGTGCATGGCGTGCGTGCGTTTGCACGTACACGTATGTCGCGTCGCGTGCGTGCATGTGTACGTACACAATGCGTGCATGCCGCTGCAGTGTAAACGTGCACGTGTGTGCGTGCGTGTGCGTGTGGTCATACATGTACGTGCATGCGTGCGTGTGCAGGTACACGTGTGTGCAATGCGCCGCGTGCGTGCGTGCGTGCGTGTGCATGTCCACGTGTATGGGTGCGTGCGTGCGTGTACACGTACATGTGCGCACGTAAAAGCGTGTGCGCTTGCGTGTGTGCGTGCGTGCGTGCATGCGTACGTGTGTGCATGCATCCATATGTGAAGTGGGTGTTTTTATTCTTTTGTGTGTGCTGAGGATGTTATGTAATATGTTTATTGAGATTCACGGTGATACTAGTGGGTGCATACGAAATCATAGCCAAGTACCTGGTACCAGATACTGGTACCTCGTACTAGAGACACTTAGCCTCGATTATTTACCAATTACCAGCTGAACGTTGCCATTGGCATTGTCGTGTTATAATTATACTGCTCTGTAGCGATAAATGCTGTCAATGATAACACTAACAGTTGTTTTTATAATCTTAGACTGCATGGAATACGCAAGAAAAACTACTGCGAACCTCAAAGTCAAAATGAGGCTAATAAACTAATGTTTATAAGCTATTTTCGATATTAACACTTCCTTAAAAGTGTGCTAGTATAGTCAGCCTCTCTGAAGTGATCGCTGCAGACTTTACGAAGGCATTTTAACTTGGTTATATCGCGATGACGATACGATCGGCTATTCGTGATTCCTGTATCTTTCCAACTGACGGTTTGATTGCGCAATCGTTGTAACACCTCTAACTCCCGCTGCGCCACCTGCTGACAAAGCTAGCGGCTAACCCCATTATTTAACTTACAGATTACAGATTCTGACAGCTAAGCAAAAAAAAATTATTATAGTGTGTGACGTCCAAAATTCCAATGAAGTTGCTGGCATAAAAAACACAATAAACAGACTTAGTATATCTATATAGTAGTGCAACTCGTATAAAATTATGACTTGTAAATTTTTTGTCCAACCCGTACAATATTACGATTTATAAAATATTTTCTACAACTCGTAGAAATTTCCGGACCATGCATAACTCGTTATTGAATCTGCTGATCCGAATGATCAGCACTTATGCAAGTTTGACTGTATATTGATATTTACAAGAGTAGATAAATAACTAGTTATTTATCTACTCTTGATATTTATGTACCTACCTGGCAAACATCATGATTGTGTTCCATGTTCAGACTTTTCACTTGAAGGTACTGACCATCTTCTGATGCACGTAGGGCAATCTTAACTGGACATTCTTGTCTAAATGTCCTGAAATGAATGCAAAATATGTATCGCTCGCTATAGATTCAGTATGGCAGTGTTTTGATTTAATTGGACAGAAACGATTTTTAAACCATGACCCATGTTGTTTATGAGCGATGTCACTTGCCCATGATACTTTACGCCCCTGGGCGCTGGGACGGCATGTAGTGTGAAAACAAATTAGTAAAACATTGCAGTGAAGAAAATATAAAGATCAAGAGTGACCGTATCAATAACTTACGATGCATTACGTAGTCCTCGTCCTCTTGACTTGAAATGGGCGCCACCTTGAATGCAGCAGTACTTCAGCTCGTAGTACACAAGAGACTCTTTGAGCTCTTTGGTAAGGCGTTTTTTTGCCGCTGAAATTGTTCTTGAATCTCTTTTCCATAATTGAACAAAATTGTGTGATTCGTAATCTTTTATGAAGTCTTGTAATACTGCAAATGATTCAAATTTTTGATCTAAAAAAAAACCCACTGTCCTTATGTGCGCCATTTTCTTTTTGACGACAGGTAGCGCTCGTTGCGCTTATCAACCAATCAGGCGTCAGTACCGTGACTTTAAGAGAGAAAAAATTCGCGACGGTGCCGTCGCAGTCGAGCAACAGCCATAAGTATAATGCAAACTAAATGCGAAATCTATTTACTACAAATTCTTAATGTTTCTGGATCTGGATCTGGAATAGTTTACTGCGTAGCCCACGGTTACGTGGATAATAACGCCAGGGAGGTGTGCGCTTAGATGTTGTCGTCAGCGGCAGTGGAACAGAATATAGGGTCTATCCTCGGCCTCAGTAACGCTGGTTCCAACTGTTGAATAGTTCTCGGAAAGAAGAATGGCGAAACTCTTCGGTGTTGACTCGCACTGTTTGAAGTTTCTGAC